AGCACGCAGCGTTCCCTCTGGAGACGCGGCGCTCCGCGGGATGCTCCGCAGGCTCACGACGGCTGCGGCACGCGCAGGGAGCTGCTGGGGCGCACCGGCTAAATAAGAGTGTCTCACAAGGCCCGTGTTTGTTTGTTTTGCTCACTTGGATGAGAGGCATGTTTCAAAATAAATGCTATAAAAATGCCAAGTCGTTTATTTTAGTAGGCAAATAGCAAAAGATTTAAAGCCTGGAGGCTGGAATAACCCACGGGTGATACATTTGCACTCTGCTGAGAGTAAAAGATGTATGACTGCAAGGCAGGGAAGGCCGAGCGGGAGCCCTGGAGCCGCAGCTCCCTGCCCGACTCCCTGCTCATCCCGGGGACATCCCTGCTCTCCGCACAGCTTGCACTGGTGCTCAGCAAAAACGGGGTATTTTGAGTTTTCAAAACCTTTGGATGGCCATAGGCTTTTCTGGATGGCAGGTTATTTTGCATTTTACCAAGGGAAGGGTCTCCAGGCTCCTGGCAGAGTCCCAGCAGCAGCGCAAACCCCGTAGTGCTCCAATCGCTCATGGTTTTTCTCTGGTGTCTTGTGTTTTTTCCAACAGATGGGTCAGGGAGTTCTTGAACGAAGAAAACAAGGGCCTGGATGTTCTGGTGGAATATCTGTCGTTTGCACAGTATGCGGTCACGTAAGTGCGCCGGGGCCCGCGCTCCGCGGGCTGGCAAGGCAAACAAAACTCCTCCTGTCTATCCAGCCTGGGGGCGAGAGACAAGGTGGGAGGCTCTGCTTTCCTTGCACAGGAGTTGCCATGCCAGAAGCTGGGTACGCTGTCCTGCGTATCCCTTAGAGGAGAGCCAGAGAAGAGGGTAAATTTAGTCCAAAACTACTGGGTCACAACGTAAAACTGTATGAAAAGAAGTGGTGGGTTAAAGACACTGTTGTAGTTGGAAACTCGAGCTGAGTAGAGCTGGTATTTTATTTTTAGGAAAGATGCAATCACATGTATATATACCATTGCATAGAAACAAGACAACAAGATTTTTGGCGAGGTTGTAATAAAATTAATGAATGAAAATTATATGTTTAAGAAATGTTGCTAACACTGGAAAAAACTGTGCACGGCAGAAAGATGTGTTTGTATGAAGACTTTGTTCCTAAAATTATTTGAGCGTATGCAAGTTAGCTTGCTGGGGTTTTTTGTCTCTAACATGGTAAACATGAGTAATAACCTCAAAAACTGTAAGCGGAACAGCAATTTTTGCTTGAAATAGCAGTACAAAAAGTCAGAAATCAAAGAAAATCTTTAACAATTACGGTAATATTTTACATATGCTTGGAGAGTAGCTCAGGCCAGCAAGCCAGTATAAATGCTCAGTCCCGTATTGATGGAGGCAGCTGAATTAGTACTTGCACCATGTGTTGATTTATTAAAATACAAGGGAGTCAGCTTTAGCATTCTCCTCCTCCCTTCAAGGTAGCGACTTGGCCACTGGGTTTATTTTATACAGAAGTAGGGTAATATGTAGATAGCTGGTTGAATCTCCTGAAATTCCCTGCTTTAGTGCTGAGTTTCTGCCTCTGTGAAGCCCCACGCTGAGCCGCAGCCGGAGGGACGGGAGCGTGCGCTGCTCCCTGCCTTTCTTCCTGCCGTCTTTTGGGAGCCGGCAAACCTGCAGGTGTTGGAAGGGAAGTGCCAGGAACCCCTTTCTGTGTAACCCTGCTGTGGAACTTCTGCTTCCTTTCAGTTTTGACTTCGAGAGTTTGGAGAACAATGTGGAAAACTCGATGGACAAGTCCAAACCGTGGAGCCGGTCCATCGAGGACCTGCACAGAGGAAGCAATTTGCCCTCGCCGGTTGGCAACAGCATCTCCCGCTCCGGCCGACACTCCACCTTGCGGTAAGGCCTTTCCCTGGGGCAGCAGCTCTCTGACAAGCAGCGAGGATGAGGAGAAGCAGGATGGGTTTCCAGCTGTGGTTTATTCACCTTCCCTCTTTGCACAGTCTGGTCTTTACACATATGGAAACCATGTCATGGTACTGACAACTTCGAGGGGGAAAGGAGTGCAAAGTTAGTAACAGAGAGCAACGTTACGCAGTGGTTGAGGGCGTTAAAAGGATAATATCACCTCTCTCTCCAACGGCAAGGGGATTTAAGGGTGCACAGCACATTTCCTGCCGCTAGAACGTGGCTCGTGCAGGAGGAGCAGCCGCTCTGCTCCAAGGAGTGTCTCACGGTTTCCATGAAGGCAGCCAGGCCGGAGCTCCGGCCCCGTGTTCCATCCAGAGCTCTGCTAGCAGCACTTTCCTTCCACGGCGCTAGGAGCAGGAGTTGTTTTTTAAAAAAACCCACCTCATTCTTCAAACCTGCTGTCGGTTATAGCCTCAGCCCAGGCTTTACTGTGAACTCTCTCTTTCCAAATGCTGGATTTTTTATTCTTTTTTTAGTTTGTGAAACGGGCAGGATCACTTCCCAAGATTGAATGGGGTCAACTCTTCCCTAGGCCTTCACATTCCTCGGATACTTCCTCATGATTCTAAAGCATACTAAGCACCATCTTTAGACTACCGATAAGCAACTTGAAACTACACCTTCTTATGGAGGTTGAGTTTTGGTTTGTCAGTCAATGCTAGTGCTGGCTTTTAGTTCATGAGCAAGGAACATCAATAAACAGATGCAATCCATCTACAGCCTGATGTAGTTGTAATGGATCTGGTATCTAGATGATTTAACTCAAGGACATCAGGGAAAAAGTGGACAGGAGGAGGCAGACATGCAGATCTGGCAAAGAGAAGTGGTGGCAGAGTGCAGCAAATTCGGCTGAGCATTTTATTTTTTTTAATATTGCAAAGACTTGGTGGCTTTGGCTTTTGGTTTTCTTTGATCTTCAATTATTATGACTTGTGGTAGAGTCTGGTGGTCGCAGGAGGATGTCTGGTCCTGTTCTTTGTCTTTGGGAGGCAGGACTGTGTTTGCTCATGTCAGGAATGCACAAGTCATGTATACATTACGTGTCTCTCACATTTTTTCTCTTCCTTCCATCCTTCCTCCTTTTTCATGTCTCCTCTTTCTTCCTTACCTGTTGTTCCTCCCGTTTCAATGTGCATCCTCCTTTCCCACACTCTTCTCCTCTCGCATCCTTCCCTCTCTGCTTCCATCGCCCTTCCCGTGCCATCAGGCCGGTTTCTGTGCCCGACCGCCTCCAGGCCAAGCGCCGCCAGAGCTGCTTTTCCCCCGGCTGCCTCTGGAGCGGCTTCCCCTTGCGCTCTGCCGACGAGGCCTCGAGCCGGAGGATCCCGTAAGTGCCGGTGGAGGCCGCGCAGGCGGGAGCGGGCGCATGGGCCCGGCGCTCCCCATGCGTTATAATGGCGTGAGCGCGCGCAGACCGGTGCTCATCGCATTATAACTCCAAAGTGCAGTTTGCTTCCGCAGGGCGGGATTGGCGAAAAGAAAACAAATGAATGTGCTTGAAACAAGGTAGTATTTTTCTTTATCGTATTAGAAGCAGCGTTTCTAGGTTTATAGCTAAGCCGCAGAGCCTTAATCAGTGTCTGTGCTGTAGTTTATTGTATTGAGCTTTGGTCCAGAAAACTCCTCGGTTTGCTCTTAGGCTTGTGGGGAGTTCAATGCCCGTGAAGACCTCTGGGTTGGGTTACAGTTATTTAATGTGCGTGCGGAGTTAGTGCAGAAATGTGCCGTAGCGCAAGGTTTGTGCTCCCAGCTCCCCTCCTGAGCCCTGCCCCTTGGCCGCGGAGCTGCCTTTGTATCAGCGGGCTTTGGCCAACGATTGTCCCTCCGTTGCAGGGAAGGGAAAATGCAGGGAAATTAGCTGAAGCCTCCTTGTTTTGTGTCTCATCAAACAAAAAGCTTTCTGTTTTGAAATATGCGTACTTTTTTTCCGTGGATGAGGAATATGTCAAGTAAAAAAAAAAAAAGTGAAAGCAGATCAGAAGTTTTTAGGAGGTGGGTATTTATTTAATCAGTCATGAAGGAGTTTTAAGCGAACAAGCTTAACCCCCATCACGTCAGTGCGTTCCTGTCCCCGCTGCGGGACTGGGCGGACCGTGTGTCTGGGACACACCGAGCTCCTCCCCATGGACGTTCCTCTTCTTTTGCTGCTAAAAGGACCTTTATAATGGAGAGAAAGAAACAAGGAAAAGAGTCTGGCATTTTTAGCAGGGTAATTTAAAGCCGAGGAGCTGGACCCATCCCTCCTGTGCCGGAACATCTGGAAAGTGTGAGCGGGTTTGGCCTCGCTCCCTTTCTGGTGGAGAACAGAAGGGCCTGGGGGGATTGCCGTGCCTGAAGGGCGAGTGCTCCGTTATTGCTCTAGTAGTAGCTCTAATCTCTGCTCATCCATAAGAACCCGGAGCCTCCCGGGGCAGAGCAGGGCCGGAGCGGTGTCCAGGTGGGAGAGGAGGGGAGGCTCTTGGTGTCCTCTCAATGTGAAGTGCGTGCGAGTCGCGCCGTTCCCTTCAGAAACGGGGAGGCCGCTTCCCGCAGCTGCGGTTTGTCCCTGTTTCCCCGCGGTGCTTCGGAGTCCTGCGCTCCGTTCAGGGCAGCATTGGTACATCCTAACGTCCCGCTCCATGAAGAGCTCCCTTTCCTCTGAGTCGAGTGCTTTGGTTTTCATGTGCATGGAGCTCGGTTAAAAACCTGCGGAGTCGATAACGAGAGCGCAGTCCTGGCTATGGAGCCGGGATCCCTAAGCGGACACGGAGCGAAGGCCTCGGTGCTTCCGCGTGGCAGATCCCGCCGCCTGCATCCGCGTCCCCAGCGCGGGAGGAGACGGGCCCGGCTCCTCCCTGCCCTCTTCCCCCTTTCCCAGCAGCAAAGCAAGCGCCTCCGCTTCACGGATTGGAAATTCAGCTGCAAAGCAGCTACCCACGTGTGGCAGCCCCCAGCCCAGCACCAGCCTCTGACAGTAGGAAAATATTGTAAGCTGCAGGAACTTGCACGTGGTCAGGTTTTCTGTTTCTTCTTCTTCTTTTTTTTCAAAACTAAGGATTTATAGTTCTTCTTTAAAGGAGGGGCAAAGGACATAAAAGAGGAACCATCTGACTTTAATTACTAGAATAAATATACTCTCAGTGACATAATCTTTGACCTGCAGCAGAGAGGAAATCAAAACCAACAATTCATCCAGATGCTGAGCTCAGGCTAATGTTTAGTAACAAGAAATGAAATAAAAGCAAAGGAAGATCATCCACCCTGGTTTGGCTCATGACTTATAAGGGGAGGCGTTGGAGCTACTGCCAGTCTGTCCTGCCTTTCGGAAGGAAATAAGTAACATCAGGAGTTGCTGCAGTTGCCACCATTATAGAAGCAGCACCATGATCTTAGTTCCAGTCTGCAGAATCCCTGTAGAACAGTACAAACCCCATCATCGAGCTGCAGCATCCATGTCTGCGGGCAGACATTTGCATTCGTTGCAGGGCTCCTGTTGCACCCAGGGCAGAATCCCGCGCGTGCTGGTGTCCTTGTCCCCGCGCGGGGCTCTCCGGTGCGTTTCCCGCGCTGGTTTCTCGGCGCTGGCTCCGTTGAGGAGGGCGCCGGCAGCGCCGTGTCGGTGCGCAGCCGTCCCCACGGCGGTCTCCAAGGCCGGGGTTCGGCTGGGTTCTGCAAAGCCGTACCGGTAATTAGGGATGGATGGGAGCATTGCTCGGCCCTCGGAGACTGCTTTCCAGGTAGGCTGTGGAGGGCTGCCAGGCTCACATAATTTCCAGGAAGACGGAGCCCAGCGCACTCCAGGGTCCTGCTGGTTTGCAGAATATGCTTGATCCTGGTTTCTCATTGCCCTAGCTCCCCAGGCAGAAGCAAGTGCCAAGTTTTGCTTTTGTTTGTGTTCAGCTGTTAATTAGTTTTAAGAGTCTTGCTGCCATTTGTTACAGCTGACAAAAGTCTATAGATGTTTAAAGGCATTCTGAAATTTAGCAAGTTGATATATTAGACACCAGAGAAGCTCTTTCTTCCACCCATGGCATGACAGAGATGAAGCGAGTCTGATATTAATCGTTCACGTGCTTATCATTAATCTTTCTTCTTATTAATAATAATTAGTGCTAATCATTGTGGTTTTAAAAGCTGTGCTTTTTGAGAACCAAACGAGTAGCACCAACTGGACACGTAACTGCACAGTGACATCAGCAATGACGGGGCGCTCCCCTGCATGCGATACCGAGCAAATACCCACGACAGAAGTGGAGGCAAACGGCCACCCTGCAGCCCTCTGGATGTGGCCTAACAGGCAAAGTGGAATCTGTGTATGTTATTTAGAAACAAATACGCTGAGCTGTCACAATTGCTTCTTGTAGAGCCCTACAAATAAGATTTCGGAAAGAAAAAAACTGCCTTTGGGCAGGATCAGACATTTGCAAGCTACCAAATTAGGCAGTTAAAGAAACATTCCTAGTTCATCGTGACACAAAGTAGGGCAGTTTAGCTTAAACTGGGGAGGATGTGCTTCGTTTGGTTGGAAAAGAGGCAATGATACACGGCTTCGATTGAATTGGCCATATGGTTCTTCTTTGTGCTATTTAATAGCTATAATATAAAAATAATACGTCTATAAGACAGGCCATTCTTGGTGCGAGCGGGGCCCGTGAGCCGCTCGCGCAGGCGGCCAGAGCTCGTGGCCAGCAGCCCCGATGGACTTTCCCTCCTGCAGGAGCCTGTGGAGCCGGTGCCGCCGTTTGGCCCCGC